TTGGAATAGCATTAGGTTTTGGAATATTCTTTGTGTGGAAAATTGTAAAGAAATTGAGAAAACTGAAAAGTAAGGAGAAGGCAGAGAAACAAATTGAAGAAAAACTTTTAGACAAGCGACTTATTTTCAATATGAATGACGAGGAGGATGAATATTATGAGGGCTCCACACCAAATATTGAAAGAAGCAAATCATCTTATGGGAAAGTATCTGAAAAGGAGTTAGTTTCTTCATTGATTGACAGTGAAAAGAAGAAATCAAAACATTCTTTCAGTTTTTCATCCTCTTACATTATTCCAATTGAAGACATATCAATTATTAAAAAGATTGGAGAAGGAGGCGCAGCTAATGTATATTATGGTACATGGACCAATATTAAAGTGGCTATCAAGTCACTCAAGATTGACAGTTTTGATGATGATTTTGAGAATGAAGCAGCCATCCTCAGTTTAATTAGACATCCAAACATTCTGACATTCTATGGAGTATGTTTGACTGATAAGAGTCGATATATTGTGACTGAATATATGGAAAATGGCTCTCTAGACAGGTATATATTTTTGAATAAGAACAGAGCATTGAATATTGACCTATTCAAATCAAATATTGGAATTTTGTGTGGAATTGTGGATGGTATGCAATATTTACACTCTCTTAAACCTTCAATTATTCACAGAGATTTGAAATCGAGTAATATATTGTTGGACGAAAGAAATACTCCAAAAGTTTCTGATTTTGGTCTTGTTAAAGTATTGGGAAACAATACAATCAGTCAAATTACAAAAGGAATTGGTACAGTGTATTATTTAGCTCCAGAAACATTCATTGCTGAACATCAAATTGAAAATAAGGAAGAGGCAACCAAGTTGGACATTTACAGTTTTGCAATAATCATGTGGGAATTATTCTTTCGAATGAGTCCTTATCATCATGTGAAAAATCCATTCAAAGTGCCTCAAATGGTTGTCAATGGAGAAAGACCTCAAATTCCCTTCAATATTGAAAATGATACGGAAATCAAAGAATGGCTTTCAATTCAAGCATTGGAAATTTCATCGTCTGACAATTCTTTCATTAATGGTATTAAGAAATACTTCTCACTCATTCTCCAATGTTGGAATCAAAATCCATTACAAAGACCTACATTCCTGACAATTAGAAGAGAATTGGATGAGATTTACAATCTAATCGGTTGAATGCAATCTATCCTCAATCCTTTTTTATTTCATAGATTGTCCGAGTTCAAATTACAAAACTTTACAAAATCAAATGAAGTGTCGATATGATTCATGCACAGATGAACTTGGAATTTGGGTAATTTTCAAAATAGCACAAAAAAAAACAAAAATAAAAAAAATGTTCTCACTTCTCAAGAAGATAACTGGTTCTGGTCAACAGCAACAACCAATCATTTCTAGAAAGATCAATAGTGAAGCAAGACTTTCGGAGAATGATATGAAGGATTTGGAAAAGTTAACCAATGAATTAAATTCTAAAATTTCATCACCCAATTTGAGAGCCTTGTTGGCTATTTATTCAAAGAATATTGATGAGATCAATGGCTCGGAAGTTGTGTTGGATCAATCGATTGCGGATTTGGAAAATAGATTCTTATCGGTTCATAAAGAACAAAAGTCTTTGATTTTTGCTCATCCTGAATTGTCCAACTCGAATGAAGATGAAGAAATGGTCGACGGAGAAGATATGTATGAATATATTAAAAAGAAGAGTATGATCAAGAATGAATTAAAGAAATTGAATAGTGAATTTTCCAAATCCAAGATAACCTATTGTCACTATTTCTGTAAAGAAGAAACTGATTTTATTCAAAAGAATGGAAACAAAAAGGATGAATGCAAATCTTATATTTTACGACCAAGTGTTGCTTTTGATCCGTTTATTGTAACCGGTGAAGATTTTCATTTCAGATTGGCATCTTCGTTTCTTAATCATGCAAATGCTGGATTTACTTTGAATGAAGTGACATACGTTTGTAATCCATACAACTTGAAGAAATTCAATGAAAAGAAGAGAGAATTGGCTAAACGTCACAATTTTATGCTCGATTCAATGAAGCCACTCATTCTATTCCATGGTAACAGATTGGAATCAAACTATGATAGTATTATGAAAACTAATTTTTCAATTTCAAAGGTTGGTTCAAACACTGGTAATTTAGGATATTACGGAAAGGTAAGTTTACAATATATTGACAATAATTTAACACTCTAAAGGGAGTTTATTTCAGTTCCATTCCTTCGTATAGTGCTGCATATGCAGGTACTAATATACTTCTTGTTTGTTTGGTGTTTACAGGAAAGGCATATCCCCTCCAGCAAATTACAATGGGTTGTCCAAGACAGGAAGGTGAGTTTTCAAATAATTTGAACAATAATTATTTAACAATTCCTTATTTGAAATAGGTTACGATTCACACACATCCCCTGATGGCTATTCAGAAGTTGTGATTTTTGATGAAGATCAAATATTACCAGTATGTTATTATTATTTAGAACTCTATCTATATCTAATCGTTTCAATTTCATTACTTTGATAGATTTACAAAATCAAATATTCTGTTTAAGTTGTAAAATATATAAGAAATGTAAATAAGAAGGAACAGAAAATAAACTAAACGCAACAAAGAAATTAATTTCGGAAGGAATAGGTTCAAATTATCATGTTTCGCAAATTACATTGGAAGATTTGCCCCTTTATTAAACGATTGATTTTTTTAATACGTTTAGTTGTTGGATTCGTATTTGGTTGTAAATCATTCCTCTTCTGCTTCTTCTCTATTGTATCCAAATGGATGACAAGTTTTTCTACTCATTAAGGCAAGACAACAATTTACAACATATTCAAAGTAAGGCTTTCCATCTACATGGATTAGTTTGGGTTGATAGTAGGCTCTTTGTACTGCATTCCTTCCTGAACTTGCAAGTGAATGAAATGTATTTTTGAAAACAAAGAATGATTCTGTGTGGAAATCAGAATTTGCAAATATTGCTTTAACTTTGATTGATTCCAATTCGTTTTCTTTGTCATTGTAATCAAATGAACATAGATATAGGTATAATGATGAGTTTTCTCTAAAATCCTTAACCTCTGTTAATTATCGCGTAGAGAAATACAGTGTTTGTAACTAATTTCATAAAACTACTTACTATTGGCAACACCCAAGTGATTGAAACAAGCTGAAAACTTGGCTCCAAATGCTGTGAACTTATCTGAATAACAACATCTATCAATATTATCAGGACTAACACGAAATGTCAAAGTATGGATGGATAATGGAAACTCTGTTGCCCATCTATGAACAATAGGAGGATAATTAGTTGAGGATGATTCCTTTCTTCCAACATGGAACATTTCAATATTATTGAAAGGTTTGAATGGTTCTTCCTCAACTTTCTTCATCCCAACCACAAATTTAAACTTGAGAAAATCATCGTCATCTGTTGAGTAAGCGGCAATATGGGTCTTATCAAGAAATATTCCATAAGATGCTTTAGGCATAATGAATTTTCTACTGTGAACAAGATAGGATTGAGGTTCTAGATCAAAATTACAAATAAAAAAGTCGAGTCTTATTCTATCAAATACCTGTTGCTTATTCTCTACTGGAATTGTGGAATTTAGTGTTAAAAATACTGTAGAATTGCCCAAACATTCATCTTCATCATCTGTTTCCGATTAGACAATTAGAAAATTAATAAAACGTAACATACCTGGCAGAAGCTCCACAACCCACTCGTGTCCAAACTGTATGAAAGGTTCAGAATAATAGCTAGTATTAAAAGGGCCAGTTTTTGGTACCTTAACATCTGCAATATGAATGGTATAATCTTTTTTCTGTGGTGGAATATTTTCCTGCACAAATTGGAAAAGGTCTTCTCCTATAGGTTTCAATATTGGCTTAATTTTTGTTTCTGTGAACTCTGTATCTATTTTTGCTTTCTTTTCTGCAATAAGTTCTAAGGTTTTCTTAGAAGATTTGAAAAATTCATTGGACATAACTAGGTTGATAAAGTCCAAAATGCTATCATTTTGTGGGAAATGATCCACTACTGCAATAACAGTATTAATAATAACATGTCCAGAAAAATTACAAATTTCTTGTTTCCCATCAATAAACTGATGTAAAACTCTACTGATCATCTTTTGTGTGCAATTTTGAATATTATCATATATCAAACATTGTATGATACACTCAAAACAATTGAAAAAACTGGTGAACCTCCCTAAATCCATTAAAATATTAGCAACAACACAAAATTCAGTTTGAGATAATATTTTAGGTATTAACTTTTCCAGATCGTGAATATTATTTTCCTCAAATATAATTTTTCCTTCTTTCCATAGTACATCCAAAAGATCAAATATTCCATAAAAGTCCACACTAGTTTCATCTTGAAAAGCAGTCAGAAAAAGTTTACAAATTTCGGCTTTCGAAATGTCTAAAAAAACATAGCTGGATAGTTGTTCAATAGCTAAACATGCATCTTTCATTTCTCTTAAATATATTCTTTCTCTTACATAGGAAAGACATTGATCAATATCATTATAATCAATTGTTGGGTAAATCCGTTTTGTGCTTAGTGGTTCTTCTTTCATTATAACGGTAACCCTGTTAACTTCTTGTTCAAAAAGAGAATAATCTGCGCTCAATACTCTAGAGTCAAAGCATTCCAACAGTAAAACTCTACAATTGGTGAATTGTCTGAAATATTGTGTCGATTCTTGTGTAAGGCCGTCATTGTACTCTATTTTTAGGATATCCAACTCATCAGATAGGGGAATAATATCCTTAATAAATTCATCTTGAATCTTACACCTTGAAAACACTAATTCTTTTAAAATTTTTGTAGAGAGTAGCCAGTCTTTGAATCCAATTTCTGCTCCAGTAATCTCTCCGACAAAAGAAAGATTAGTAATGTTACTTGGAAAAGTGCACTCTTGTAAGTTAGTAACTTGCTCACCAAAGCATACTTTCAATGTTGTCAAATTCTTGAATTCTCCAAGATATTTTAGATATTCAACATTCTCGTTGGTTACCCTTACATTAAGAACCTTTAGAGAACTCCTAGGTAAATGAGGAATAACTGAAGCTTCAATGGCCTCACCTAAAACTTCTTCCAGTTTGCAATTTACTATTGCTTGGATATTTTGATGAATAATTTTATCTTCGAACTGTTCACCTTGCAGATCCAATATTTTTAAATCTTCACAGTCATGGAGAAATGAATGGTTCCTCCTCAATATCAATATAAGTATCAGTATGGTACAGCAGTTTTTCCAAATGTTGTCCTATTAAAGCCTTAACAACATTAAAACAAATTATTTCGTTAGTACCTCCATAAATTTTAAGAATTCTGAGTTGTAAACAACTTTTCAATTGTTCCAAAATATCTTCTTTTACAATTGTAAATTGAAAATTTCTAGGAAAGTCTAATGTTAATTTAGACAACTTAGAGAGATTACAGAGACAACCTAGCAATGTATCTAACTCATATGAGGGATCATATTCATTAGTGAAAACAACATTCAATCTTTCTAATGTTCTTGAAAGGATGCTCAAATTCTTTTGGAGATTCAATATTGTTTCATCAGAAGTTGATTTCCATACCACCTTGAGCTTTTTCAAATGGGAGAATGAATTAGATGAAAATACTGAAAAGTATGAACCAGTTATATTTGATAGTGTGTCTCGAGCAAAGAGGGAAAATTTTTCAATCTTTTGTGAAACATTGGAAAGTACTAATGACATAATAGAATCATCAAAATAACTAGGGTTGATAACCAAAACTGTTAAATTTGGACATTGTTGTGTGATATCCTCAATATTCTTGCGTGTTAGTGGATAGCTAGAACGAAACTCTGTCAAAGATTGAGGAAACCCAATCACGGTTTGATCCATTTCTTCTTCATGGAGGTTTAGTTCAGATAAAAGGCTTATCAACTCGAGAGTTTTTAAATTTTTAAACTCTTTCAACAAGTGAAAATATTCAGTTTTAAGATTAGTAAGTGTCAATACTGTCAAAGATTCCAACAATGGACTTGCATTCATTATCCACTCAACAATGAAACTTCCAGAAATACAAGTTGCAGCTCTCAACCTCAACTCTTCCATTGACAATCGTCCAAGCTCACACAAACCCACATCTAAAAAAGCATATATTAATCGACCATTCATAAATAATAATAATAAATTGATAACAATTACCTGTTAATGACGAGAACTCCAAAGAATTGAATGTAAACAAATCAATAACCTTCAATCGTTTCATCTTGATCAGTAAATTATCCACAACTCCTCCGATCCTATGATTACTCAATCCGATGTGAATAAAGTATTGGGTCTTGTTATTCAGGAAATAATACCAGATCCACTCGGCAAAAGTCTTTGAAATAAATCTCATCTGCAACAAGTGGTATTCATTGAAAAAACATAGCAAGTGTTCGGCACACAAATCACAAGGTAAATTCTGAATTTTCATTTTTTTTTGATTTGATAGGAAATCTTTGTTAAACTGGAATGAAATTGTAATATCTAAATAATTTAAATATTAAATTATTTAATATTTAAATATTCAATTTTACATGATACAATTGAGGGGTCCGATCTATTCTTAAATTCATCCTCACAATATTCCTCGCACGAGCATAGAGCTCTTATTATCGGGTTTCCAATTTCCTCTCACAACCCTTTCAATTCACCTCTCCATGGAATTTCAATTATTCAACCTTGATCATCACATGGCAACAACCTCTTAATGCGACAACGAGAAAAAACACGAATAATTTTATTACTCCATCCTCTTCAAAGAAAGGGCGGGTTTTTTTCTTAACGTAAAAAAATACCTCGCAGCGTGCTAAGCGTTGGAATGTTTCGCACTAAGCAGAGTGCGCAAAGAGAGCACCATCAGCAGATTCCTTAGAGAAGAAGAAGGATGATACTGCTGATGGAAGGCTTTGCTCTCTATTCTTCTTCTAAAAGGTGGTGAAGGAGGACAATGTGTTGTGAGGATTATTTGTTTTTGAATGAATAGTTGAAATTGTACGTCGCTGATTCTCCAAAACACAATCAGAAAAAACAACAATACAAGAAACTATTAGGTTTCAATATATATTCCGAGTTTTATTGAATATTTGAATCATTAATTGATAATTACTTTGAAAAATGTCAACAAATAATGAATTGGTTGTTGACGTCCAACAAATTAAGGATGATATGAAACAACAACAGCAACAACAGCCAGAGAGGAAATCAAGAAATCCCTTCAAGAAAAACAAGAAAAAGGCTGAAAACAAAGAAACAGAAGATATTGTCGATACAAGAGAACCAAATCTCAAATTTAAAGACAGTTTCACAATTTACAAAATCATTGGATGGAATTGGATTTTGATATTCTTGGGAAGTATTGGTGCTATGGGAACAGGTGTTATTCCAATTAGGTAAGTTTCAGATATTTGAGTTTTTGTTACAAACACTTTCAAAGTTTCCAATTTGTTATGGGAGATTTAATCAATGTCTTTTCACCAACACGTGCCGATGGATCCACTGTTACTGCAGCTGAACAGAAAGCTGAAATTGGAACATATGCTTCATACTTTGCAATTATTGCAGCTGCAGCTTGTATTGCCAATTTCATGTCTCAATTCTTTTTGAATTGGGCAAGTGAAAGAATTGGTGTTGCTATTAGAAGTGCTTATTTTGACTCATTGACAGTTCAAGAGATGGGTTTCTTTGATATTAAGAAGGTTGGTGCATTGACCATTACTCTTTCTGAAGATATTACTCGTATTCAGGAAGTTTACTCTGTCAAGTTGGCTACCTTACTTCAAAACTTGGCTCAGTTCGTTGTCGGTGTCATTCTTGCCTTAACATCAGGATGGCAAATGGCCCTCGTCATGATGAGTACAACACCATTAATGATTTTGGGTGTAGTGTTGTTGGGTGGTGTTATCAGAAAGTTGACCTTGTCAATTAATAAGGCCAACGATCATAGTGCCTCCATTGCTACTGAAGTGATGGGAGCTATGAGAACTGTAAGATCAATGGCCGGAGAGGAAAAGGAAAGAGTCAGATACAAGAAGGACTTGACCAAGATGTATTTGGCTGGTATTGGTAAGGCTGTTGCTCAAGGTTCTACTTTTGGTGTTTTGGTTGGTATCTTGTGGGGTACTACTGCTTTAGGTAAGTTTTTTTATTATTTCAAATTAGCTCAATAATGTTATTTTAGCTTTCTGGTATGGTGGTGGTCTAGTTGTTGATGGAACCATGAATATTGGATCTATGCTCAAGGTTTTCGGTTTGACATTGTTTGCTATTATTGGTATTTCTCAAGCTGGTTCATTCTTCCCTGATTATGGTAAGGCCATGGTTTCTCAAAAGACTGTTTTGAAATTATTGAAGAGACAACCAGCTATTATTTTCAAGGGAGGTAAAACTCTTGATACTATCATTGGTAATGTCACATTTGAAAATGTTGATTTTGTCTATCCATCACGTCCAAATGCTACTGTCTTGAAGAATTTCAGTTTGGATATTAAGGCAGGTCAAGCTGTTGCTTTGGTTGGTCCATCTGGTTCAGGTAAATCAACAATTGTTGGTTTATTGGAAAGATTCTACGACCCAGCTCAGGGTAAGGTTTATCTTGATGGTGTTGATATCGCTGAAATCGATCCAATGTGGCTCCACAAGAATATTGGTATTGTCACTCAAGAACCTGTATTGTTTGCAACCAGCATTTACAAGAATATTGCTTATGCTATTGGTGAAGAAAATACTACAATGGAAAAGGTTATTGAAGCCGCTAAATCTGCCAACTGTCACAATTTCATTATGGACTTACCAGATGGATACAATACTTTATTGGGTGAACGTGGTGTCTCACTCTCAGGTGGTCAAAAGCAACGTGTCTGTATTGCTCGTGCCTTATTGCAAAATCCAAAACTTCTCTTATTGGATGAAGCTACATCTGCCTTGGATACTGAATCTGAATCTCTCGTTCAAGCTGCTTTGGATTTATTGATGAAGGGTCGTACAACTATTTGTATTGCTCACAGATTGTCAACTGTTAAGAACTCTGACAAGATTTGTGTATTGGCTAAGGGTATTTTGAAAGAAACTGGTACTCATGCCGAATTAATGGCCATTGAAAATGGTATCTATAAGAATTTGGCTGAAAGACAAATGTTGTTCTCTAATGAAAATGCTGATGTTGAAGCAACAATGGAAGTTTTGCAATAATGTAAATATGTAATTTTGGAGAGTGTAAATAAATTCAATTTCAAAAATTCTTTAGTAATAACAGAGATGGGAAAGGAGAATCATTAATCAACCAATATTCCAGGATAGAGATGTGGCCTTATTCTACCCATTGAATTCTACAATGGGAAGTGAACAATTTGTAAAAGATTTGATTTAAAACAAGCTTTACAATTTTGATAAAAAACTCTTTAATTACTAGTTGATCCTTCAGTTAATTCTTTGGCCACTGACTTGACAAGTTTGTAATAAATCAATAAGGCAATAAACAAGATGGCAACTGATACAATAATTACTGATGATGGCTTGTATCCTGTCAAATTTCTTCTTTGGAACCAATATTTGGTTATTTCCTTATATTGAACATTGGTTTTGATAGCTTCTCCTTCGTTCATTAGGAATCTCTTGAATGTAAACTTGATTTGACCCTTATTGACAGGGGTGGAATTATAGGTCTGATAATTATTAAAGGACGTATCACATTCGTCAATCCATTCATTTTGAACATCAATAATTTCTCTAACTTTGTGTTGTTGTGTGGCAGAATAGTTTGACTTTTTCTTGGCAAATCTTTTAAGTCCGACAATACTATCAGAGAGGGTATTCTTTAAAATTCCTGTTTTGCTTTCGTCGATATTTCCTTCAAATTCTGCATACTTGTAATCATCAGGCAAAAGTAAATCAAATTGAAGTTCAGTAATTGGTGCATCAATTTGAGCAAGTGATACTGAGAGTGTTCCTGAGGAGGCAAGTTTTGTGGATGGTACAGTAAAAGTGAGGTCAATATTCATTGGAGTGGAACCTTCCTTCTTGGAGAGTGGAATGAGGATGGTCTTTTCATTATCTTTAACTTCTTGACCTGGTTTAATGGTTGCTCCATCACACAAAGTAGACCATACTTCAGAGCCGTTCAATTCTTCTGGCAATTTGATTCTCAAATATTGTTTGAAAGTATTGTAGCAGTTAAGATTAATCTTGTGGAGGAGCTTATCTCCAGAATGAGTAATGGTATAGGTACATTGAGAAATATTTGTGGATAAAACAGACACGTCAGCATGTCTGATGACATCTAATTGCAATTCGTGTTGACTTTCTAAAAATCTATAACCCATCAAGATTGGGAATCCACTTTGCTTATGTACATGTGGTAATTCTCCAATGTCTATCTTTCTCAAGAATCTTCTTGACTTTTCTACAATTTCTACAACTGTCTTGGCAATAATGGCCATAGTACCAGTTTCTCTTGAAACGTTATGAGTGGAAAGAGAAGGAACTCTTACTAATGCACTAGTACCTCCCATATCAGCTTCACTCACGACTTCCAAATGGTAGGATCTTTCAATTTCTCTTGTAAAGGTAACAACTAACTTCTTTTTACAGTTTGTAAGAGAGTTGGCTTCTTCTAATTGGTCATCCTTGACTTCTTCACTAACCATGTTCCATTCCTTAATATAGCTACCAGAAACAGAGATAATTCTGAATGGCAAATTGTATGGATTGATAGAAATTTCCAATGAGGTAATGATTCCATTAACAATAGAGTAATCGAATCTACTCTTTGTATTGATAACACCTTCACCAATCAAACAACTGGAGTCTTGGGTAGAACTGACAGAAACTGGAAGAACAACCTTTTGTTCCTTTTCTTTTTCTTCCTCTGGCTCCTTTTGGAAGATGAGATCAATGGCTTTTTGTTGAATTTCAGGAGTCCACAAAATACTGAGATATTGTGTGGATGGAAGTTGAGTGGCAACCTTGGTAACAACTCTATCTTCAATTGTTGTATTGGATTGGTCCAAATAGAGAGATGGAGTAACTTTCACTTGACACTTTTCATTTTCAATAATGAATTCCAATGTACTGGTGACAGCATTTGGAATAGAAAGTGTGACTTGTCTTGGGGAAGTTTCATTCTTCAAACATTCAAGGTTAGTATAATTAACATCAACTTTCAATCTAACTTCATAGAGACCAGATGAATCTGTCAACATTATAATTTTACCTTGATCAATTGAAACATGGCAATTTACATAATCATTTTCTTCCTTTTCACCCATATACTTTACATTAACTGTCTTGATCACAATACGTTGTTCTACATTACTCAATAATACACATTGAGTCCATAACTTCTTTGCTAGTAAGAGATTATTTCTTTGAAGAATGGCTTTTTGCTTTTTTGATACATTTTCTAACATATCTACCATATACACAATTTCAAATGCACAACTATTTACACGTTCTTCTTCCTTTCCAATAGATTCTGCCAAACTCAAATTTTCCTTCTTGACATAATTTTGCTTTCCCTTTATATCCATAGATCTGATAATGTATGGTTGATCAGCAGCACTAATCACAGAATCATCGAAATGTTCTTCCAAAAACTTTTGTTGTTGTTGGAATTGTTGTAAAATCTCCAAATACTTATCAAGTGGAAGGGAAACACTTGGTAAACTGGTAGAAACACCTGATGCTCCACCAACACCTCCAGCTGGAGAATTATTCCATTGTTGTGGTTGTTGTGGTGGTGTTATTGATGATTGAGGTGTTGGTTTGCACTCTTTCTTTTGTACTGCCAAAAAGTCGTCACAACCATTTTGTTGATAGGCAGGTTGTGAGGAGTGAGACCAAACATTAGCCTTTCTATCCTTCATCATTTTAACTTTGTTGAACATTTTGATCAGGTTTTTATAATAATGTTATCTGTACAATTTTGTTGTTGTTTAGATCAGCAGCCTATCAAGAGAAACCTCCGAAAATATGTGTGTGGTAATAATTTGGAAGATGATCAAATGATATCTTTTTTTTTTAATTTTCTCTTTGGATGAACTCACCTGGTAAGAGTTCACTCTTCAAAATTGTGTTGACCCAAGGTTCACCACCTGTTAATAATTATTAAATACTTTACAAAAAAAATAAAATATTTAATTTAATAATAATAACAATCAATATCAGAATGAATTTTTTTGCATATTATGATTTGACTTCATGCTGGGAATGTACATTAGATAATTGTGTTCATCTCCTTCAATTAAAAAATGCTCAATGATGACGATGAGGGTAGCACAACCAACAACAGCCTGACCATTTCCTCCTCAGCAAATAATAATAGTAACAACAACAACAATAGAAGGAGAGTAGTATTTGTTGTCGATGCAGAGCAACAAAAAGAACACCATACAAATGCTACTACTAATGTAAATAATAGTGTGTTGGAAGAGGCTGAACAACAACATAACGATAGACATGTTCATTTTGGGGAATTAGTAACGAGTCATTATCATCATCATATGGACGAACAAACACAACAGAAGCCTTCTTCAGAAATGATTGCCGAGGGAGTTAAAAGTTTATCGGTGAGGAAGATTGCAAAGGATAATCTTGTCAAATATAACAAGGTTTATGTATCGGATAGGTTGTATTTAAAGTTGAGAAAACAAGCATATAATGAAAGATATTCAGTGGAATCAGTTCGTTTTCCTATTAGTGCTATTGAGGAGAATGTTATTTATTTACTTTTGGGAAATGGTGATAATTTGGGAGTGTATCAGTGTTCATTGGAGAATTCCGAATCAAAACCAACAAATTTGAGTGGAAAGAAACAAAGCTTTTTGAAAAACAACACATCCACTATTGCTTTAAATTATTTTCAACGAGAATCTATGAGTGTACAGGAAAATAGTAATGTAAATATTGTATCATCCTATTTGGAGTGTATAGTTGAAGAAAAGTTATTCTCTGACTTTTCTTCTTTCATATTTGGAAATGGTACTAAAGTTACAGTTTTGGAGAGAATATCATTTTCAATAACCTCTAATACTTTGTCATCATTATTGCAACAGCGTAATAATGAAAAAGTCAAATTAACAGAAGAATCTTTGAAGGAACAATTTTCACAATTTGTACAAAAGTATTTAATTGGCAATGTATTTAAAAAGGATCAACGAGTTGGTATGGAGTATTTGACAAAGAATGGAAATTCTAAAAAGAAGAAGGAAATGATTGAGTTTATTGTCTCAAATCTAACTTTTTCCAAAAATGATATTTCATTATTTGGGATTATTACTTCAAACACTTCGATAGATATAGAGTTACGACCAACTACCGTCTCTAAGAATTTTTTGAATAAGGAACGAATTTTTCAAACACAACCAATTATGCAACTATCATGCCAACCTTTACTTTTTACTAACTTGACTAAATATGACTGTGTATTCTGCAGTTGTGAACTAATTGAATCTGATAAGATAATGACAAAAGATGGACCATTGCTTCTTTATGCTAGAATAATACCGAGTAACATAATTTATAGAGTCATGTTAATGAAAGGAATGGAACCAGGTACTATTCTAATGGGTAAACACCAACGTCAGAACCTTGCCACTAATGTGAATGAGAGTTTGCAAGTGAAATTTTTCTTTATGGATCCTTCGAGATGTCTTGAGGTTTCAAATGATGAAATGACAAAGAGAGTCAAGGAAAGTAATCCATTCAATTCACTTCAAGAACCAACTTCATACAATGATAGGCATTTCAGATCTCTTCAGACAATAGTCTTCAAATTGGATGAAACAAATGGAAATAGTATTTCATTCAGTAGTTTGATTTCGTATATTTATTACTTTTTCCAATATCACTACTTTGAAATTGGGCAAGAACTTGCCTTCTCGTTAGAATACTCTATCATTAGGATGAAAGTAATATCAATCAATGGCGTTGGAGTGCTTAGTATGAACAAGCCAATAGGAGGTTTGCTGGGAAAGAATACTCTTTGTTATTTTGAAAAATCAAGAGCCTTTGAATACAAGGCAGTTCCATCGCTTGATTTACTAGAGTTGCAACAGAGTGTTCACATAATGAAAGGATCTCTAATATCAGAAAGTGATGGAAACAGTTATTTTGTAAATACTCTATGCCCTGAAAAGAGACAACCTCAATGCTTTGAAATTGAAAGATACGAGAAGGCTCCTTCAACAATTAACATAATCCATCATGATCAATATCCTTCCAAGGATGTTTTTAAGAGAGTTTCCAAGTTTAACAAGTCCTTACAATTTACAAAAATAATTAGATGCACGAATCATAACTCTGATTCAGAAATTAGACATATTGTATTCAATTTGGATTTAAACTCTGTTGAACTATTTGATTCTTATGGAGATAAGGTTGAAACTGTAGAGGAAGCAACAATTAATGAATCAATCAATTTCCAAACCTCGGAATTTGCTAAAATTCCAGAATGGCTAAAACTATTCAATACTGGAAGGTTGAAGGCTTGTAAATTTGAAGAGCTAGCAACTCATTCTGCCACTACTTTTTACATGGACGATTTTGTAATTTTACAGGGAGGATGTGATACACAAGTCAATGAAATACAGCCACAAACAACCTTACTCATCTACTCTATCAAGGATAGAAAATTAATCAAGCTGGACGATTCTCAGAACAAAATGTCACTTCAGCATCCTCTTAGTATTTATCACCACTCTGCTAATATTTATGAGAACGATAAGCTGCTTCTCTATGGAGGTTTGAATTATGACTCTCAACAGAAAAAGTTTTCATCCTTGAATAATTTGATTCAACTCAATCTGAAAACTTTCGAATGGGAATATATTGAAACAAAGAATGAAGGGCCATCTCTCTATTATCATACCTCAACACAAGCTCATGATTCTCTATTTATTTGTGGTGGATGTCACAGTAGTACTAGAATTACAGAGTATCCTTATTTGTGGGAACTCAATTTATACACATTATTTTGGAGAAAAATCAAAACAGAAGAACCAAAAGAAGATGTCAATATTGGATGTTACTGTCTTTCACTACTCAAATTTTGTCCAATATTCTCCCAAATCATCTTCCTCCAAATGCACAGAGAACCAAAGGATGAACACTATGATACCAACTATTACAAATTATCCAAGTTACAAAAAGGATCCAGACATTTAAAGGTCAGAAAGATTACATTAAGACTGGAAAAGTCACCCCTCAAAGCATATTCCAAATGGCTTGCCGTCTTTGAGAGTACTTTCATGCTACCATCAGAGAGATGCACCTATCAGGATGTTCTTTTCCTTCACGAATGAATGAAACAATTAAAAAGAAACTGAAAAGTAAATCTTCCTTCAACTCTCAATTCCTGAACGATTTTTCGGCCGTTATTTAAAAACATTTTAAAAATTTAAAAAAAATGGAGCCACACATCATTGAGGAGAGGGAAGTTCCTAAAGCCTATTTACTTAAATCAGCCTCGGTGCCGAAGCCTATGGGATTTCTGGATAGGTTTGAAGTGAGAAGTGTAGCTAGGGATTTTTCACTGTTGGAAAATTTACGAGATGAGGATAAAGTTTGTAGTGGTAGGTAATCTTGGATAATTATGTGATGGAAATAATATGTGGATGAATAATAACAAAATAGATGATTCGGAAATGGTTGGAATAGAATGCCAGGATGACATGATGTTGTACTTTACAGGATTTCTAGTACTCCCATCAAATGCTAATAAATTTCATGAGAATCCATCAAACACTAGTATATTGGATAGAGATGAAAATAGAATTTATTACTTGATGTGTTCACCGAGTAGAATGTGGTCGTTTGATTATTCGGAAGATTTACGAGGAGTGTGGTTTGAAAATGATAATGGATGGTACAAGTTATTAAATCCAAGCAAAAAGTATGCTCCGATCTATGCCCCATTCAAAGCAGTAAGTGTTGTTCTGGTTAATACTTTATTAATTGTGATAATCTTTTGCTGAAATATATTGGAAATTTAATTATTAGAAATGTGATTTGTGGTTGTCACTTCATGAAGTTTTACAGTCTAACTTTTCGTCCACAATCAGTCAAGTAGTAGGGATGTTAGATGAGGATAAATATACAGAAAAAAACATTCTAGATAATGCTCAATTTATTCTCACCAATTGTTCAAATACTCAGGATGAATCAGGCAAGAAATTTTCTTCGTCTGTTTTTGCTGTGGAGCTGAGGAAAAAAATTGCTGAAATCGCATCAAATGAGAAGAAACATCCTAAAGTTAAATCTGAACCTATTAGTAGTACTACTGTAAAAAAGAGGGAACGTGTGGAAGTTGAAGTCCCAACCAAAAAATCAAAAATCAAAAAAGCTTCAAAAAAAACCTCTCTCATCAATCCAATTTTAATAGACTCATTCAATACGGCAAAACAAAAATGGAAAAAAGAAGCTGAGGATGGAGAACTTTCAGATAGTGGAGATCGTAACATTATTATTTTTCCTACAACACTTTGTAATTATTGTAACAAACACAGACACAATTTCATTGCCTGCGCCAAATGTGAAGAATATCAATTGTGTTCTGTTTGTTTCATAAATCTCGAATTGGATCAGCAAGTGAAAAAGAAAAATCTAAAGAATGGAAAGACAGCATTTGATTATTGTGGAGAAAACTCATTATTTACATGTAGACCTTGTTTTGAACGTGGAGATAGTGATTCATCTTCTGATTCTGGAAGCTTTAACCTAGATGATGAAAGTTAGATTTGATTATCAATCAAATAATCAATGAAAACTAACAATACGGAAGGAAATATTCAATTTTAACAAGATTAAGAAGATTGAATAGAGAAGTGACAATAGAAAAGAGTAAATAATTTTACCCTGCCATCAAACCAAACATTAACACGAAGCCAAAATTGATTGTTGTAAAACAAAAAAAAATGTCAAAACGAGATCGGTCATCTCGCGAGCAAGAGGATGAACAAGAAGGAACTTTGTCTTCGGAAGAAGAAATTTTTGATGATACACCAACATTGATGAAAAATGATTTTTCAATGGAAAGGAAGAAGAAAAAAGTAAAACAAGCACCACCCTTTAATCTTGTCAAAATTACGCAAGATTACGATCAATCACATTATAAATGTGTTCAACTAGGAAATGATTATGATTCATATATGTTATTTTCGGCCAACAAAACGCCAACCAAAGAGATTAAAGAAGTGATATTCATGATGGAAACATTTCTACTTATTAGAACAGTTGAAAATAGAATATTTTACATGGATGAAATGATTGCACATGGAGAGGTGGATTGCAGCAAGATCATTGATAAGAGTTCAATTTTGAAACTTGTGGCAACCTCTTCATCTGCCTATTTACTAACAAAGAGCGGAATTTATGTGTATGCTCGTGGTACTCATTCATTTGAACCTTCCTTTTCAATTGAAAATCATGATGAGGAGTTTGTTGATATTTCAGCATCTTTTGTTGATAACTTACTGATTCTAACAAGTGAGAATAGAATTTTAACAACTGGTTGGAATAAGTTTGGAATGTTGGGAGATGGCACAACCAAAAGCAAATATCACTCATTAGTTAATCCTGAAACAAGTCATACTCATCGTGTAAAGATTATAGTGAGTGGATCATGCTTTAGTCTTTACACAAGTGGCAGCTCTTTATTTGCATGTGGAGAATTGTATAATATTGGAAGTTCTGCATGTGTCTCCAAGTTTGAAAGACAATCTCATTTCAAATTCGAAGCGTCAGATGTGGAACAGATCATTGCCAAACCTTTATTTACCTGTTTTTGGACGAAACAACATGATTTACATATTTACGGAAGGGGATTTTATACCAAACTCAATCTTAATCAAAATATTTACTCAATAGCTGTGCTTTACACCAACATATTCTGCTCATATAAGAATGGAAATGAAATAACACAAACAAGACATGAACATGTTTCAAATGGAGAGTTTACAACAGAGGTTGTGACTGGAAAGTATAATGTCAAGTGGTTCAATTCTGTTTGTGTTGGTTCCAACTCAATGTTGCTGTTTTTCACAAAACCACAGGAGGAGTCAATATTTAAAAAAGTAATTACCAATTTTTTTGACATCATAGTCGATTCTTCATGACCAGGTTTCAAATATTTTGCTTTGTCAAAGACGCCCTACTTGAAAATTCAAAATCAAAACGATGAGGCACTGACCATTCCATAATCAAAAGTGTAAAGCACTTGAGTTTTTAGATGTGTCCTCAATTTTAAATTTTAAGAAATATTCAAAGTTTAAGTAAAATGTACAGTAGTAAGAATGATATAAATTTCTATGCTTTTTTCATAAAACACATTAATACATGCGTTAAAGATGACATCTAGAGTTAGTCATTTACTAAGATCTGGATCGTAAATAGTTTGGAGATATATCTCCTCTGAGAAGAAAATGAACCTCAAGCGTGCGTATTAAAAAACACGTATTGGTTGAAATGAATAACATTCATTCCTTCCTCACGAATGGAAACTTTCTAGAAAGCATAAAGATTGAAAAAGAGAAACTTCAAGGTTTAGGACTTACCGACAGCTCACTATTCAATGTTTCCATCGCAATAAGACCATTCTACAGTAAATACGCACGCTCCAACAAGCATCCATAACAATAATTTCCTATAAAAGGAACTTCCGTGTTGAAACAAACTTCCACAACAAAAAAACACAAAAAAAAATGGTCATCCTCTCAAACAGAAGAATTTTACTTGTTGCTCGTCCGGAAAACACACCAAAATCTGCTCATTTCACACTGAGTGAACCAGTACAGGAAATCAATTCTGAAACTTGCCTAAACGAAGGTGAAATTCTTGTGAAAACCTTATTCCTCTCAGTGGATCCCTATTTACTCATGCCAATGGGAAGAAAGGGAGTGCATCCTGATGTGGTTCCTAATCAAACTCCATATCCATTGAAACAATTCAAGGATGCAGCAATTATTGCCAATGTTGGAGATGTGTTTGGAGGAAGAGGTGTTGGACACGTGGTTGCCACCAAACATGATGATTACAAGGTTGGAGATTTGGTTGCTGCTGATTATAGATGGCAAGAATATGCAATTATTAGTGTAAAATCAGAGTTGACTTTTGAAAAATTGGAAAATGAAATATTTAGTCAAGTTTCTCCATCAACTGCTTTGGGTGTTTTGGGAGTGAGTGGTTCCCATGCATTGTGGGGTTTCAATTTCGTCCTTCCAAAAGATGAGAAACCAATCGAAGGAAAGACAATTGTTGTGAGTGCTGCAGCTGGTAGTATTGGACTAACTGTTGCTCAATTGGCCAAAAACAAGGGTTTCCGTGTGGTTGGTATTGCAGGAGGTGAAGAAAAGTGTGAGAAATTGATTTCTGAATTTAAATTGGATGCCGTAGTTGATTACAAAAAGGCAAATGGTGACTTGACCTTACTTAGTCAATTATTGAAAGAAGCAGCTCCAAATGGAGTAGATGCATTCTTTGATAATGTAGGAGGATTGGTTGCTGATGCAGTTTATGAAAATCTCAATTTGAATGCAAGAGTTTATTTTTGTGGAGCTATTTCACAATATGGAGAAGGAAAATCAGTTTTAGCTCCAGAGAAATACACAAATAATCCAAATATTACAAGTATTACATGTTTACAAGCTGATTATATTAATAATATTCCACAAGCAAGAAGAGAACTCTTTGAATTGATTCAAAAAGGTCAATTGAAACCAGTTGAGTGGATTACTAAGGGAATTGAACAAACTCCAAAAGTTTTTGAGGAGATGTATGCTGGAAGAAACTTTGGTAAAACACTTATTCAAATTTAAACTCTTATTTTCTATTTCAATAAATTACAAAATTTGTTTCACATTAGAAATTGTAATAATTTTACATAAAAAATAAGGAAATACTTTTAAATAATAGTAATTTTAGTGATCTATACAATATATTTCCTATTACTAAATCAAATCTATCCACAATACTACCTTTCGAACAAACTTTACAATAAAAAATAATTTTTGGAAGAATCTCTTTATTAAAGCAGACTAAAAAATAACAAATCAATAAATCTTAATAAGCTTCATCTTCATTAATATCCTCATCATCCTCACCAATATCTTCCATATTATCTTCATCAATATTTTCAAAATTAGAACTTTCATCAGTTGGTAAAGAATCAAGTGTATCCAAAACTTCTCCTTCATCACTCAAAGTTTCTGCTTCAAGATTTTGTTCAAGAGCAGCTTCTTCTTCTTCCTCACCTTCGGAATTTTCAGTATTTGATTCAGTTGATGCCTCGGCAGTGTCAAGACTGTCAAGTGTCATTTCTTCTTCAGTTCCATCGAGGAGAGCAACTGATTCAGCGGAAACAACATTTGATGTAGAAGTTGTGGAGAAGAAACCGCTGATTAAGAAGAGGGTTAATAATAACAAGGAAAAGACAAGAAAACGTTTGTTCATTTTTTTTTGATAGTGAAATTTGATGTCTGACAGAAAATCGAGTCAACTTTCTGACCTAACAGAGCAGATTTATGTTTCATGATAATTATTAGAGAATGGACAAGGTGTTTTATTGGATTTTTAATTAAATTGTAAATTTTCTTTATTTAATAAAAAATCAAAAATTCAAAAATGGAAATTTTGAAATTGTAATTTTGATTTGGAATTGCTGATGACAAAGCAATGATGTAACAACATGATCAATCTCTTATCAATTACTACATCCAATTATTGAAAGTAAACTAATTTTATCTTTCGAATAATTTAGTTTACGTTTCGAATACATTTACCAGTTGAAACTTTATCTGTGAATTTTCCAACTGATGGCTTCCTTTTCCATACCAACCGTCTGTTCGAGTGTCAAATTGCACCTGTCATCAATTCAAAAAACATTAAAAAAAAATATTTCGTCGTCGTTCTTCTAACAAATAACACAATCATCAAAAATGGGTAATGTCATTCCTGTTAACACTCTCTTCTTGGGTATCGATGGAGCTGGTAAAGTAAGTAACATGAAATCTTTACATTTCGTCTAATGTGTAAACTAATGTTTAAACTAATGTGTGTAAACTAAACTTTAGACCACCATCATCAACACTGGTATGAACAAATTCAAACAATTAAAACAAGAGCAAATTGATGCTATACAACCAACTTTGGGACATGATTCAAAGAGATTTACAGTGGAAGGAGTTGAATTTATTTCATGGGATGTAAGTATTTGAAGAATTGAACAAGTTTTCTAATAGTAGAAATTGTCATTGATTGAATGGTGTTGTTGTTTTGTTCATTGACTGCTCCAATAACAATAATAATAACAAATGTCATGTTGACGTGTAAAAAACTCGAAATCTTTGGATGATTTGAAAAAATATTAAAAAATTCGTGATGATATGAAAAATGGATTCGATTCTTGGCCATGACATGAATTTTTCTCACTATTTCTCACCACCATTGACAATACCACAACAACACATTGAACAATTCAATCACGACCACTTTGTTGCTTCCTATAGTTCCCTGGCAAGGAACAACTTCGTTCCACATGGACTTCCTACTATAAACATGCTCAAGTCATTGTCTTTGTTGTTGACAGCTCTGATAGTGATGAACGTTTAGAAGAAGTTAAGGAAATTCTCCACTCCATCATTCAAAATGTCCAATTACGTGAATGTTTGTTGTTGATTTTGGGTAACAAACAAGATTTGAATTCCACTAGAAATTTGGATAAATTGAAGGATACTCTCGGATTAGGAGGTAATTTAAGTGGATTACGTGATCGTACTTGGAAGATACTTACTTGTACTGCCAAAACTGGAGATGGTTTGGAAGATGCTTTCAAATGGTTGTCAACTGAAACAATGAAGGCCTATAAAAAGAGAGAAAGCAAGAAGAAGGAAGAAAAGAAGGAAGAAACTAAAAAATAATTGAACTAAGATGTTGTATTTCAATAAATCTAATTGTTAAATATCAAGACAGAGATCAATCGGTTTTAATTGAATATTGGGAGAAATATCCTATTGTTTCAAAGAAAAACATGTTTAGGATAAATATTGAACTGAACTAAAATGTGATATCATAACAAGATGACACTTTGTTGAAAAATTTTAGTGCCATCTCACAGATTTGATCTCTCTTTCAACAATGCACCAATTGGATAACATTCTTTACAATTCAAATTCATCCCAATTTTTTGGTGCATTTTCCAATTTGAAATCCAAGTTCCAAACGAAATTTAAAAATTCATCAAAAATTCCAAAAAATTCATAAAAAAAAATTCAAAACTTGAAATTTTCATCATTTCACTAATATAAAATGTCTGCTCAATCCATTAGCTTTTCCAAGTATACAAAATTCGACAATCACTACAGAAAACAATACGTCGAATCGATCAAGACCCAAAATGAAGAGATGAGCAAGAAATTAAATCATCCAATGGAATGGTATTGCTCCGAGAAGGTTCATGGTTGTAATTTGAGCTTTATTGTTGATAGAGTAAGGCAATCAGAGTATAAAGTAGAGGTTGCTAATCGTTCATGTGTTCTTTCACAATCATCAATGAGCTTTTATCCAAAAACAATTGAACAGTTGGAGAAAAAGTTTGAGTGGTGAATTGAATGAACAATTGAAATTGAAGAGTGTTCAAATTTATGGTGAATTATTTGGTGGATTATTCCCAAATAAGAAACCTTCAGATGCTAAGGCAATTCAAAGTGGAATTCACTATTGTCCACATCATGATTTTTATGCTTTTGATGTTCTTCTCGGATTTGAGAATGGAAAACAATCTTGGGCTGTTTTTAACAATGTTGATCCATTGTTGGATGAGTGTGGATTCAAAGTGAGAGCTCAACCATTGTTTAAGGGAACTTTGGACGAATGTTTGGAGTTTGATGTTAAATTTAACACTAAATTACCAGAAACTTTCTATCCAGAAATTGTAAAGGAAAGAAATGCTTCCTGGAAGGATTTGGATAATATTTGTGAAGGTGTTGTCATCAAACCAACCAAGTACAATATCTTTGTGGAAACTGAAAGAGCTGTAATCAAGAAGAAGAATGAAAAATTCTTGGAAACTGAAGCTAGTGATAAACCACAACAACCAGTGAAAAAGGAAAAGGGTGACTCTGAAGAGCTAGTTCAGGTATGGAATGAACTCTCACGATACATTACCTCCAATCGTTTGGATAATGTTCTCTCAAAGATTGGAAACCTCACCAAGAGTAACATGTTCCCAGTTATGAAGGAATTCTCAAATGATGCCCTCGAAGAATTTAAATTAGATTTGGAACGTGGTGCTTTGGAAAATTGTAAACCAGTTTCTTCACTTTCAAGTGAAGATCAGAAAAAGCTCACTAAAAAGATCAATGATGCTTGTATGGTTTTAATTAAGGAACAATTAAACAAACCATCATCAGAATAAAGTGCAAGTTGACTATTTCGAATAAAAGTGGTGTTACTGAAATAATTTACAATTTTTTGTTTTTTGAATACAAATTGCAATTTATTGATTATTTACCATACAATAACCATTCAATAATTACGGTGTTTACCCTCATAGGTATGATAAACCTCTACTCTGTCTTGTTGTGGTACAGTATCGCTTCTTTTTTGATGGTCTGGAAAGTTTTGTAGGTGTTGTCTTAAATTGCCATGAATGTTACCAGTGGCAGCACACTTATGTCCTTGTGGGGTTTGACTACTAATGGGGTTATTTTGAGATTTAATTTGACTACTTGTTTGGGAGTTATTTTGAGATTTAATTTGGCTACTTGTTTGGGAGTTATTTTGGCGACCAGTTTGGGATTTATGTTGAGTCATTTTGTTTCTGGCTTGTTTTATTTATTTTAACATACCACGTTTAACATCAAAACTTTTATTATAAAGAACTTTTGAGCCAAAAGGGAGACTTCATTTTTGGACAATTTCTTAATTTATGAAATTACTAGCTCAAGAGAAGCCCAAGACGAGTCAAGGATTTATTTGGTGTTGGTGAGCCTTTAAATTGAACCAATGACAATAAGGATATTGTTAAGAAATTTTAAAAAATCAGAAAAAAATGCTCAACACTGAAACCAAGCTAACCTTCCATCATGCAATTTTCGAATTATCGGAAGGCTACTTTTTCATTGATCAAATTCTTCCATTCTTTTCTTTCAATGATTTGGAAAATTTATTTCTCACCTCCAAACATATTGCCGAGTTGGTGAGCAGACAACATCACATTGATTATTTAGCTGTTTTTAATGCTGGACTTGCACATTATTCATCATCGGGGAATCGGAATAGATGGATTGATTCAACTCCTCCGAATGAATTTCCATCACTGCTGCAATTTGCAAATGGAATAAAAGTGATGATTGAAGCAGAGGGATCATGGCTGATTGAATATATTATTGGTTATTGTCGGAAGGTGAATAAGTTATTCAGTATTTCATATGATAAATATATTTATAATTGGTCACAAATGGATTTATCACTGATTAAGAATATTGAGGAGTTTGGACTTGTCAGGTTGGACATGTATAATTTTCCAAAATTTATGCCATTGTTTGAGGGAAAGAAAGTGAAACAGATTAAATTATCTATGGGATATATTTATCAAGATATCTTTGAACAGACTAGACCTGTTTTAGATAAGATCAATTTCAAGGAATTATATTATTCCATTTCATGGGTTTCTTCATTTAATATACTGAGTGAAGGTCTATCTAAGGAAGATTTAGATTTTAGAAACAAGATAAAGATTTCAGTAGGTGATGTCGGGATAGATCAACACCATTATAGTTCGCTGAAAAACATTTCTAAATGTTTCGAGTTTAGTTCAATTACAATTGAGAATGCTACAAAAAAAGAGGAGGATTATAGCGACCACAAATTTGACCTATTTTCAAAATCATACACCTTGAAAGCAGCTTTTTTAACCAAAGTACAGTCACTTGCATTGCCTAAATTCTCAAATACTGAGCCTTCAGCAATAGAAATGCATAATATTGAATTAGCTCTCAATAGTGCAAACATTGATACTTTTCATGTGCTACACACGACGAAATATTTAACAGAATTGAAATTGCAGGACTGTCACATTGATTTTTCAGATATTGATGCAATTGACTTGAAATTATTGAATAATATGGTTTTGAATAGATGTAAATTTGTAAAGAATGGAAAACAATCAAATTTGGAATTTATTGAATGTATTAGTGCACCTAAACTCACAAATCTAACATGTGGTGACCTGTCGTTAAAATCAATTCCAATGATTTCAAAGAGTATCACCACTTTAAAATTAGGCAAGAATGAAATTGAAAATATCGAATTGGAAAGGTTAGATTCTATGAAAGGATTGACTAGTTTGGATTTATCAAATAACAAGTTAAATGATTTAAAAAACGTTCAGTCGATTATTGGAAAATTCAAGGACCTGAAATTGAATGGAAATCCAATCTTTAAACGTATGATGATTAACAAAAACAAACTAGAATTTATTAACGATGACTGTAAACATGATGTTAAAAGATCGAGTAAGCTAAACACAAAACCAAAATTTTCTGGAACAGATGTGGAAATTATCAAACAATTCAGAATCATTATCTCTCAGAGAGATTATCCACACTGTGTTGAAAGGAAGGATTTTCTTAAACTAATTTCAAATCCAAAAAAACCAAACAGCTTGGACGAAACAAATGTGATTTTCTGGAACCATCACTACAGCAACAGTCAAACATCATTGTCAAAAGATGGAAATACCACATTTGTTGGAACTAATTTTACAAGCTTTTGTCAAGTTGCCATCTATCTAAACAATTATTTACAACACGAGTTTTGCTCTAAATGGTATTTTTTCGGTATTAATGGAACAGATAATATTGAGCCACTGCATAATAGAGAATTGCTAAATGAGGTGTCCTATATTGTGCATGAATGGTCCTTTGTTTCCTCTCACATTGAATTTGTTAGAGAATTGAGAAGAAAATATCCTTCGAATTCTTTCTAATAAATTGGATTCTAATATTTTTCAGTTATTTCGAATAAATTAAACTTTATTATCAGCTCCGTAAGGTTGATTTGGTTGGGCATAATAATTAGGTTGTGGATCCACAACTCCTGGTTGACCATATCCTTGATTAGCAGTAGGATATGGTTGACCATAACCACCTTGTGGTTGTCCATAGCTTTGATTAGGATTATAAGGTTGAGCTGTTTGATTTGGATTATACGGTTGACCATAACCTGGTTGACCATAAACCTCTGATGATGGATTGTAATAAGGTTGTTGTTGACCTACTACTGGTGGTTGTGTTTGATTTGAATAATAAGGAGTTGAAGTGTAACCACCTGGTTGTTGAACTGCCAAATTTGGTTGCATTTGGCCAACTGTTGTCGTGGTTGATTGAACAGTTGTGGTTGCAACTGGGATTGGAGTGGTGACAGTTGTGGCAGCTGCCAAATCACTTCTTGACATACCATCTGCGATATTCTTCATGATAATGAACATTCGAATACCTGCAATGACGGACGAAATTCCAGCAATGATCAATACAATGCCAATAACACCCAAAACAATTGGAGTGGTAATTCCAGAGCATGATGTGCTGGAATTGGTTGTCACAGCAAGACATGCTATAATGAATACAAAGTTTAGTCAAGTTTCGAATAATTTCAAAAATTGATTATTAGAAACAAGATAATGAATTAGTTTTCAACAGATCAACAAGAAACCTACCTGCATACAATGCACCAACGGCAATCGCAGCAATTCCTAGAGCAATACCAATCAAGATGGAAACAACTCCTGAGATAATTGTGGCAAGTGGTTTAGTTCTTCTGTTTCCAATAACTATTCCTCCTCCTACGTGATGATTTACATGATGATGGTGATGATGACCGTGTCGTCCATGGTGATGGTGGTGAGCCATGCGTTGTGTTTCGTTTCGTTTTTTTTGTTGGAATGTTTATTGGAAACTGGGTGATGTACTTGCCAGGTATGGGTTGAAAGGGAGTTCCAATGTTGTTTCTATTTGATGAGGATCTTATTGTAATCATTGATTTGTAATTTCCTCATACTGATCCAGTGTGGATATTCGAAAGTTCAATACTAACTTGGAAAATTAACATAAATTTATAATTTTCTTAAATATTCCAATTTCATTTTCATCTAATGTTTTCCAATTTTAGTGTTTCTTCTTGTACATAAATGTCTTTCGTTTGCAATTTAGAAAAGGTAGGATTAGTTTTCAGTGCTTGTAAACATTCGCTTGTTACTTTCATTTTTCCTTTTCTGTTTCCTTCAAGTTTTGTTAAATTTATCAAATTGGTGCAATTTGATAAAATGGTTGCATCTATAGATGTTTCTTCAATATTTGTAAAACGTAATTCCTTTAAATTAGACAAGATTGGATTGGTGCAAATTATTTGCAATTCCTTGTTTCCACCATCGATACTCAAATATTCCAAATTTGATAGACAAGTAGAATTCAAATAATTTGAAAGGACATTTTGTGATTCCTTGGTAGGTCTAAGACGTAGTTGTTTGAGCTCTGGACAATGATCAATAAGTGAGGGAAATGGTGCCAAGTTGGAGTCATCCAATTTTAGGTTGGTAATTGAACTTTGACTGTTGGGAGGAAATTTAGCAATTGTATTATCAAATACCATATTTCGATAAGATTGTACATTCGCATTTACCCATTTGACTGTTGTTAGATTTGGTAAGTTTGGAGAAATAAGCAAATTTGCAAAATCCTGATTGTTAATGGAACATTCAGTAATCTTGAGATATGTAAGATTCTTACAATTTCCATTTGATAAAGAAATATCAGTAATTTGGTAGTTTCCAATGTCCAAATATTCCAAGTTGGGCTTATTTTTCAATACTTCATTCTGAAATTCGTTACCTCTGTAACCGTATGTATGAGATGTTAAATGAGTAATTTGTTTCAAATATTTGGTACCCAAGCATGACCCAATTCCATCAAAATTATATGATACATCTAACTTCTTAACGGTTGACATAAACGCACTTCCAAATAATGCATCTGCTTCCGTTTTTTTAAACTTTTGCAGTTGCCTTAAGCTCAGTTCAGTTAAGTTTGGCATTTGACATTTCGTTAAATGCTTTACGGATGATAGAATCAAATTATTACCAGAAATATCTAATGTGTGCAATTTATCCCATCTGATACCTTTTCTTGAAAGTGATTGAAATGAGCTAACAAGAGCACCAGACAATTTCAAAGAAGTGACATTCTTAATTTGTGGACTTTTTACCAAAAACTCAACATTCTTGGAAGCATTCACTTGTATTTCAACCCTGTCCACAACATCTTTCCACAATTTTGAAACATATCTACAATAAGCGAGATCATTAACATTCAAGAATTGGAAAATACTAAATAAATTGTCAGAATTCAAACGAGTGGACGAAACTTTTTTTCTATGAATATCCACTTGTTTTAAAAACTCGTAAATATTTCCAACAAATTCATCAATTATTTCGCTATTGTACACAAAATAACGACTATCAACAAGTTTCACCTTATTTGCCAATGAAATTAATTGTGAATTAACAGTCGTCATTTCTTCAAATAACACCGATTCAATATTTTCATCATCAAACATTTTTCCATCATGACCATCGTGATGATCAGCAGCCGAAGGCTGTGATGATTCGTGCTTTCTCTTCTTTGTGTTGTTGGTCATTTTTTTTTTTAAGTTTTTAATTAATAAAATTTTAAATATATTGCTTAATATTATTTAAATTGTGTAAATTAGTGAAATATTGAATGTTCAGTTTAGTAATTTGTATTTAGTTGTATTGATGTTTTGCAGGTGATGCCATTCGAATAGGAGCATCTGGATTCAATTGATAATCTGTTTGTAAGAGTGGATACAGTGTAATTGTCTTTCTGGTACACATTGAAATAATTGGGAAATACATGACAGATTGTGAGACTAAATCCTGAGTTCCAGTAATTGCTGATGCAATGTGAATTCCATTCTTGAAAAAGTTGACCTGTTTGGCATCGTAATCTATAATGACAGCAAATCGATCACCAACAGAGATCTTTCCAACAAATTCAGAACCTACAGTTCCATCAATAAAGTCGCCAAACATTTTGAATGATTTGTTTTCGAGAATGTAACCAACTCCAGAGTTTCTTTCAACGAATTGAGCTATGGATTTGTCATTATTGAAATCTTCATAATCAGTTCCAATACCAAATGCTATTGTTAATTGATGGAGGTCAATGTGTCAATATTTCAAATATAGTAAATTTCCAATATACTTACCAACATTCCATGCATTGCCACACAAGAAATATTCTTCAATAACCATCTCATATCCTTTAAATCCAAAGTAAAATTGAGGAGATAGTTCTGATAAATCCTTAATCATTGGATATTTGGATGCTTTAAATGCATACCAAGTTGTAACGTTAATATTTCCAACAGTTCTCTCTCTATTAATGACCTTTTGTTCCTCAACATCAGATGCCTTGTCAAAACACAACTTTTTCATTTGCATCAACACTGAACTATACTTGATTGCATTTCCCTCTCTCAAAAAGAGCATTTCCCTCAAATATCGATCCAATTCCTTCTCATTCATTGAATTGACCAACGAAACATCCAAACCACTACTAATAATCTTTGAATTCACTTCATCAATAAATCCATTCATCATACCCAACAATCTATGTTTCCAAATAGTATTTCTATACGCAGCAACATCATCCTCTTCATCATCACGATAATTGGAAGAATTCAAACAACCTCCCAAAACCAAATGATAATAAAATCGATTCAAACAAGCAACATTCATCAATGTATTCTCACAACAATACCACAGAACATTTACTTGATTATCGAGTGGGAGTTCCTGGAATGGAATTTTGTATAACCATTCACCATCAGCAATTTCCAATGTTGTTGTTGTTGTTGACATTTTTGTATTTACAATTATTAAATAGTATTATTATGAGTATTAAATATTAAATTATATATTAAATTATATTTAAATAAATTATAGGATGATGATGATCGGAATTAATGTATTACAGTATTAACTATTATTATTAATATTCAATATAATATAATACAAAATATGTACAAGAGCCTTTTTTAGCTATATTGTTGTTGTTGTCTTTTTTCAATAATTATGATATGAAAAATTAAAGATCATGTGATGATGGATAATAAATTGTGTTTCGTTATCTCTTTCGGATGACGATGATTCAAAGTCTTGAAATTAATGATGATGAATTAATGAAATTGTAAAGTTATTGAAAAAAACGTTTTTTTCAATTTTTTTTTTGATTTTGGGATAAAAATAGAATTTTTGAATCGTTTTTAAATTTGAAGTGAGTTTCAAATAGTTGAAGGTGAAGTTGAGAAGATAGGAATCGAATAGTGGAATTAGAGAATTGTTGTTGATCATCAGCACAAATGGAAGAGATTAAATAGTATATATGGAAAATTGGATAATTAAGAAACATTGGATTACTGACAACCATTGAAAAGATGAGGAAACATTAGTTTACAATGGATTTTTTATTCGAATCCAAAGCTCAATAATCGAGAAATGATTATCCAGTGACTTTTATGAAACTTGATGAAAAAGGACTTTCGTTCGCTCGAGTTTCAGTAATTTTTATACATTCCATTAAATATTCGCTAAATTACATTCATTTAATATTCAATTTATTGTAAAGTGTTTGTATAATTCAATGAACCTTGAAATCAAGTCAAGGAACTTGGAACCTGCATGAAAGAATGAAAAAAAACAAACTTTAAAAAAAATGCTTTCTTCCAATCATCAACAAGTTCTCTTCCTCTCCAACCAATCCTCCTCGATGGAAATTGACGGAGTTTTTGAAAAATGTAATCTTGTCTCTCTCCATCAATTAACAAATTTGGAAATTAAGAAAATTTGTCCCTCCTCGAGAAATTCATTTATTTGGACAAGTGAGGAAGATCGAATTTTCAAAGTGGGTCGCTCGAATGTTCCAATAGAATCTGAAATTCAATACTGGAAGAATCCACTCAATTGTTTCGAATGGAAATGGAAAGAAAGAGTGAATAGATATTTGAGAATGAATAAGGAAATGGCATCTATTGTGGATGGTAGAGTTTTAAATTTGAAGAATATTTATGCATCGTGGTATGCTGTCTTTTTAGAGTTGGATGATGGAGTTTTCTTTGCTGTCAATGATCAAGATGAAAGAATGTGGAAATTGGAAAAGGAAATTAAAATGTTTGTAACCTCGCCATGTAGTAATCATGCTTTGGTGGTATTGGAAGATGATGAGCTCATTAATATTGACAGTTTATTCTTTCAGATGCCTTCTTCTGAAACAGATCAAATTGATGGAACAATTGTAAAGGCAGCAACATCTGCCAAGTCAGATATCATTTTCACAGATAAGAATAAGATGTTTTGTAGAGGGGATAATCGATTCAATGTTCAAAATGGTACTAGATCTAATGGATTTTATTCCTATGTGAGAACTCCTTTCGAAAATGAAAGTCTAGTTCAACAAGTCAAATGTGGACTTTTTCACACAGCTGTCATGTTGGAAAATAAGAGTATTTATGTGTGTGGACAAAACAAATTCAATCAATGTGGAGTTTCCTCAAAGGAAGATCAATCCTTTACAAAAATTCAATTCTCTTCAGATATAATTCCAGAGAGTTTGTATTGTGGAAGTGATTCGACTGGTTTCACCACCAAATTCTCAACCTCCCTGTATGTGTTTGGTGGCATGTTGAAGAATTTAGATTTGAATGCAGTGGAACATGTCCAACAGATGCAAATTACTCAAAAGAAGGGAAATAATCAACAACAACCAACAGAATCAGTTTCGTTTGAACAAGTTTCAAGATTTGAACCTTTCGAATTGATTTCAGGAGTGAAGGGTATTAAACTATCACTCAAATCCATTCCAAATGCTGATTTCAATTCGGTAGTGTTTGGAGATTCGTACATGTTGGTCTTTAAGAGAAATGAGCTAATTGGAAAAACATTGAATTATATTCATTTGAATATGAAACGTCTTGGCTTGCAAATTGATAAGCACTATTCAGATCTTGTCTTTCACACTGAATGTTAATATATACTGTACAAAATTTATATATTTTATGTAAATAATTGATCAAATATAAAATCTTCTATAAATGGAAGAAATAAATAATTATTGAAATATTGCAATTGTGTAGTGTCATTAATACAATTTACATTCTGATAGAGTGGCATTGTATGATCCACATCTTGGAATTAAATTTTCATCCCATCCCATGCAACTGTTTGGAATATACAAACAAGATTGTGCAGGAATACATCTCTCTGGCGAAAGTGTGTACAAATTACTTGCCTTTCCAACAATTGTTCTTCCATTAACAACTGTAGTTCCATAAAAACATTGTTGTCCAGGATAACCAGTTCCAAAAACATAAAACAAAGCAACAGCACAACCAAAAACAAAGAGAATTGGAGTTAAAATCATCAAAATACGTAATTTAGGTTCCAGATAGGATGTTCTTTGCCAATAAATCAAAATTCCAAGAGGAACCAATTGAATTATCAAGTAAACCATCATGGCCAAATTACCCCATAATTTCAAATCCGATTCTCTGTATGTAAATACACCCAACAAGATGAATGTTACCAAACCAATTAATATAACAATTGCTGATGAAGTATATGTAGCTATTTTAATCTATCCATATATATATACATATAATAATTATGATCACATCATCATTATCATCCACATATAATAATAACAATAATAACAATAATATCAAACAAATATATCAAACATTAATAGCAATCATCCGATCAATATTTAAATTATCATCATCATCAATAATAATATTAATAATACAACAATAATAAATGTAAATATGATCCAATCTATATAACAAAATAATAACATACAGCCTTGCTATTCTCATCACCATAAAGTGGATTCTCCATTTTTTTATATTTGTTTTTGGTTTCTTCGAATCTTTACAACTCCTCTCGGAGTTTGCAAAAAAGGCACCGGGTCTTTGAATTGGAATTAATTTGGACTCTAGAATTGAGTGTTATTTGAATATAAAACAATGATTCATGTTCATTTGTGTTGTATTAGTTGAAGCTTGTATTAAAGATGGTTTAAGGTATTTAAAGTTTACAAAAATATTTTTTGAGTTTACAAAAAAAAAATGTATCAAGATGCATGGGTGGAGGTGATGCAATTTTTAGAGCCGATTGATGTGTTGGCGTCTCTACTCACTCTCAATAGAAATTTGTATGAATGGATTAGAAAATCTTCGTGTTTAACCTTTGATGATATTTGTAATTATTGTGCTGGAGATGAAAATTCATCCCGAGGCTTGAAAATTTCATTTCATCATCAAATTGATGATCATGATAATTCAATGATTGATAATGTAATTGATGATTATTATGTAAAATTGGTTGGAAATACTAAATATATTATTCGGTTGTACTTGGCAAAATTGGCCAAACGATTGGGAAATCAAAATCCTGTGGAGAGATCTGAGAAAGAAATTTCAAAAATTCTGAATTCATACGAATTGAAATTATTGAATTTTTATAGATCTGTGTTTTTTCCTCAATTTAAATATCAGGAGAGTGGAACGATTAATTATTTTGTTTTGGGAGATACAGGAATAGGAAAGACAACTTTCAGATATTTTATATGTTATGGAAAGAAAAAAGATAGTTATTATGGAGCTACTGGAATTGATTTTCTTATCAAACGGTTTCAAATTGCTGATGAGATGAAATGTGAACATAAGATTTTTGACACTGCTGGTCAAGAAAGGTTCTTTGCTCCAAACATGATGGTGAAAAGACATGCAAGAAACGATAGGATGGGATTTCTTCTTTGTTTTTCAATGGTTCATCTAGTGTCGTTTGAGAAATTGGATGAATGGTTTTCTGCTGTTAAGGAACATGCCCATCCAGAAATTTCAAATTATGGATTAATTGTTGGATTACATCCCCAGAATATTCGTTGGGTCGAAACTCCTAGCGAACCTCAGATCTGTGTTAAAGATACTGTAAAGAAATCGTATGCTCTTGGTAAATCAGTGTTTTTTGAAGCGAATTGCAATGAGTCCAAACAAGTATTTGCTCCTTTTTGGTTTATTCAATTACAATGCACTTATTTCAATAATTGTAAAGAGAAAGACAAGGATCTAACACAAGTTAATAATTCTTGGAACTGCTCAATATATTAAAATAACATGAAATTCGCAAAATTTACAATCCTCATGTAATGTACATTTGAAATAAATTAAGGTTTTAAGATTTATTGGAATGGTTCCAATTCAATTTCGAAAACTGAAACTGGTGTCTTCAAACCAAAGTTAGAAGCAACTTCTGGATGAATAATACCGAAAATACCAATCTTCTTGCCCTTGTAGAAGATATCAGCTTGTCTACCTGGCAAGAAGCTAATATCGTTAGATGGGAAAATTGAGAAACAGTGCTTATCAACAGATTGGCTATGTTCAACTTCGAATGGAACAGCTAAAACTTCCATAACTCTGTCAACCAAACCGTGAATCAGTTCCAAACCCGATGTAGCAGATGAGAAGAGAGCAGCAAGTCTTCTATTATTCTTAGCACCAACATCCTTAGAATCATCAACTAAAATAACATCACCACATTCGAACAATTTGATTGGCAATGGCAATGACTTGTTGCTTTGCAAGGTCTTTAACAAACCTGGAATCAAACTAATTCTAGCAGTCTTGAATTCGAATGGACATGGTTCAGCAACAGCAATAGCAGTCTTACCATCGTTGACTCTGTTCATGTATTTAAAGTTTTCTTCATCGTTACAGAGAATCAAGGACAAAACTTCAGTATATCCTGACATGGCGAGTTCAAGACGCACCATTTCTGACAATTGGTTCAATTCATTTTCCTTACCAACAGTTGAAGACTTTGGGAAAGTAATTGGGATATTGTTGTAACCATGAGCAATGGCAACATCTTCCATAATATCACAAGCATGTAAAACGTCTGAACGAGTTGGTGGAGCAAGAACTCTCAATTCATTATTTTGAGTGACAGTAGCATTCAATTGCATCTTTGTCAAAATTTCTGCAATTTGTTGAGCAGATAAATTCAAACCAATTCTACTATTAATATAGTCGCTATTTGTAGTGAATTCAACATTATCAAGAATTGGAGTAGGTTCATCCTTTGATTGAGTCTTATCTTCATATACAATTTCAACTTGTTCAACTGTGAATGGAACAGAGCAATGTTCAGAGAACATGGTAACAACAGTATTCAAGACAACCTTAGCCTTTGTCAAATCAGTTGCAGTACATTCAATGAAAACATTCTTTGTAGACATTTTGATCTTTGAGTGATCTCCGTTAATAATTGGTGGCAAAGACAAAACTCTTCTCTTAGCATCTAAAATAACTGGATAAACTGGACTATCCTTGATAATCTTAGTGTAAGGGGACAAGTGCTTCATTTCACTTCCCTTTTTTTCAATAAAAGCGAAAAGTTCGTCAGCATCCATTAATTCAGTTCTATCCAAAGGAATGAATTTGATTTCTTTTGGTGGAAGAGCTTCATATGTGAAAGGACCTTCAATAACATCCAAATCGTGAGTACCAATAGCAACGAGGGTTCTCTTTCTACAAATATTTTGATGAAGCTTTTCTTGTAAATCAATGAAACTATTGTAGGCATCTTCGGTGAAGGTGATATTTCTCAAGACAGCACCAACAACAAATTTACGGATTGATCCAGTTTCCTTTTTCACGTTAATCTTTAACAATTGTTTGGTTTTGGAATTATCAATTTTATAGGTTGGAGCATCTTGACGACCGAGGAAAATGTTCAAAGCTCTGCTCAAGCCTTCTTCACAGAGTAAATCGTATCTGTTGGCTGGGATTTCAATCTTGTAGATGACTTCATCGGAGAGTTTGCTTGTATCCTTTGCAGAACCCAATTCCTTTTCCTTCATCAATCTTTCAGAGGTAACATCATCCAATTCAATACCAAAATCAAAACAAAGTTGCTCAAAATCGGCATCGGCTATAGGAGATATTTTTTTAATTTTCATTTTAATAAAAAATTCATTTTTAAAAGGACACTATCCTGTTGGCTTTAAGCAGGCTTGGTCATCAGAGAAGATAATAATAATTATGTATTATATTTCCAGCTAAATTGTTATCCAGCCAAGACTGTTTATCTTTGAACCTATCTATTTTCAAATGAATTCTCAATTTCAAAACACTGACTGCTCTTACGGAATTTACTTGTAAATATATTCATCATCAAACAACTACACCAAAACAACAACTCTCAAATGTTTTTAAATCATAAGGATAATTATCAAAATCCTCATCAAAACAACAGGCCTCAAGAATGATCATTCCGTTAAATGGTCTACTCCACCTCCCGTACATCAGGAGTCGCTTAAATTTACCATGTTACCTCTCGCCAAATGATCCGAGCTTCTTCACAGGCTATCCAAAGAGCCAATAGTGGTGTTTGGATGGAACTTTTACTCTATTCATCACTCAGTGTCGAGTGACCTTCTTTCGCGATAATGTTTAATATCCAAACAAAAACAAAACCAACAACATTAACAGCAACACTGCTTCTCTGTTCTCCTAATAATCGATACTGAACCTCGGAACAAGTTATTAGAAGTTTAACCTTAAGCCTCATTGGATCTCTTATTAGGGTTGACAATCTTTAACTGTCTGGATATTAACAAATTTAAAAAAAAATGTTTAATCCATTCTTTACACAACCTTCTGGTGGCGCCAATGTCAATCCATCCAATGTGAATGGTTCAAATCAATTCAATAATAGTGTTGCTGGTACGTATAACAGTTGTAGTAATAGCAGTGGGAGTACAATGCCAAACTTATTTTCAGACATGATTAATGTGAACAGAAGAATGATGATGGGAGGATTTAGCATGCCAAGTGTGAATTTTGGTATGACAGTGATGGGTCAATCGAGCACTACTAATATGACAAATAGTGGGATGCTTGGTGGAGGAATGATTATGCCATCAAGTAAAACACATGAAATGTGTGACTTGTCTGGAAAGTGGCAAGACAAATCTGGTATGGTTTGGCACATTACTCAAAATGGAAATACGTTCCAAATGATTGAGGAAAGGAGTAATTTCACAGGAAAGGGTTCAGTTATTTCGAGCAATATTAATGGAACCGAATGGGTAATTCATGTGTCATTAACTGCCAGAACATTACAAGTTAATAATCGTTTACAAGCATTCGACAATAACATGCTGGTTGGTCAAAGGGATTTTTTCAAATTAATTGAGAAATTTAACACTAATGTGAAACCATCCCCAAACAACGTGATAGATCCAAATTTGAGTTTGAAATTGGTTGGATCATCTTTTAAATCAAAGAGTGGCGAATGGCAAGTGGTAATGAAACTAAATGAAGGATTATACGCAATTAAGAATGGAAGTGGAATTATGAAGCATTTGTGTATCACCCCAGACAATAATGGTCAATTAATGGTTTTCATTTCACAAGAAAACAAATCAGGTAAGGGAGAAGAGGCCCTCTTCTGTTTAACAGCCGATATCTCACACTTGTCTCTTTCCAATGGAGAAGTTTGGACCTTAGAGGCTCCTCCAACTATCAATTCCCATGTCTACTCATCAATTTATCAACAACCTCAAACTTATAGTCAACCAGGCTATCCAATGTATCAACAACCACCAACTCAACCAAATTACTACCCTCCAAACAATTCATATCCACAACCTCCAAATCTTTACCAACAACAACCTTTTAATCCTTACCCACCACAATACGGGCATCACCATCAACCACAACCAAATTATTATCCTCCAAATAATTCATATGTTCCACCTCCGCAAACTGTCTCACCTCCACCAAAAACTATTGGTTGGGTGGAAAGCATTTTGGCTTGTAAAGACGAGAGTTCGAATAGAATTCTTGAAAAAATTGATCAATATTCAAAGAGCCAATATGAAAAATGTGAATCTCATCATCTGAAACAAATTTTAAAACTTTTAACTCATGGACCACACCAACGTGATGCAATCTCCTTATTAAGCAAAAATTTAGCAATTGGATATTTAACTTGTAGTTCAGTAGCTACAGATATTGTTCCTTGCTTTGACTTTTTCTCTCATACTTTTGAATCAATCACTACTTTAGCTCCACAAATAACAGACAGACGTCAAAATGCAGAAGTAATTTGTAAATGTTTCAATGATATTGATGCCAAGAAAGTGAGAGAACTGTTAATGAAATAATACAACCACTTTCAAACTTTATCTCCTCATATATTATCTCACTATTATTTTGATTATTAATGATTCAAAAGAAGAAATGAATCAAATTGTTAAAGTTTGTTTATCTTGTGGATAAATACTTTATTTATATACATCTCACTAATATTTGAATTCAAAATTGGAATCTCTTTGCATTTATCTGAAGATGACACCACCACCGCCGCCACCACCGACAACAGCACCACCAACTGGACCTGGACCACCAACTGGACCAACTGGACCACCTGGAATTGGACCTGGGCCACCAATTGGACCAATAGGACCACCAACTGGAGGAGGAACACCACCAGCAAATCCAATGCCACCATCAATTCCACCAACACCCCAACCACCATAATAAGGAGCTCCATATCCAACACCAACACCATAACCACCGCCATAACCACCTCCATAACCATAACCACCACCATAACCACCATAAATTGGAGGAGGAGGAGGAGGAGGAACACCATAACCATAACCACCGCCATATCCACCATATCCACCATAAACTGGAGGAGCAACAACAACTGGAGGTGGAGGAGGAGGAAGATATTGTTGGAATGAGCTACCATAGTTTGAACCATAATTGCTTGGACCAGTGTAAGAGCTTCCATAAGAACTGTATGGATTTGAGTTGACACTATCTACTTGATTGAGATAGGATTGAGTATTTTGAGCATACTTGTTATAGTTGCCACCTGAGGTTCCATAATTAGAACCAGCACCGCCATAAGAACCATAATTATTGGCATTGTTGAAGGAACCAGTAGATCCACCAAAACCACCATAGTATGGAGGAGGAACACCATAGGATTTTGTTTCAGTGTCTCCTCCTGCCAAGACAATCGCAAGGGAGCAGAGTGATAGCAATAAGCCAATAAGAATCTTTTCAGATATCATATTTTGTTTTTTTGTTTTGATGAGTAATTAGGAAGGGAGAGAAGGGTGGAATTTATTGAATTTTTGGAGCTTGTCAACTTCATAACTAAATGTGCAAGTATCTAATAGAGGAAAATGAAATGATGGGAATGATGGACCTATAAAGTAAAATTGTGTATAAATGTTGAATTACTTAAATGGAAATGATCAGATTGTTTGGAAACAAAGTCTCATTTTGTAACAAAGCAGTTTTTAAATTCACTACAATTTAAGAAAATTTCATATCTGAATGTGAAGCGTCGATGGTTTAGTGGTAGAATACGGCGGGTTCAATTCCCGGTCGACGCAGCAGAAAGCAATAATTTTGTTCAATTAAAGCTTTTAATGTGAATTGTTTTTACACTACAATCTAGACATACCATACTACACGAATCTCAAATACCACATTTTCATTCTTTATATTAGAAAAGATATTAATCAAAGTTAAGACCTCATTTTTTTATTGTGTTTTGTTTTTTAAAAAATGCAAGTAATGAAAATTTAACAAACTTTAATTTTCCTTGTCAATCAAGGCTTGATTCACAGCCATTACCACTCTGTAACGAGCTTGATTCTTGAGAACCTTTTCAACGGCTTGAGTTACATTATCAAGAGTAGTTAATTCAATTTGTGGCTTAATATTGTGATCAGCAGCAAATTGCAACATTTCCTTCATCAAATCGGGAGTGGCACTTGCTGAACCAACAATTGCACGATCTTTGAGGATGAGAGGAAAAGCTGATGCTTTATATATGCCAGAATCAGCTATTTAAATTGTTATTTAATTAATTTAAATTAATAATTAATAATTAATAATAATATTAGGAAATTAAAAGTAATTAAAAGTAATTGGAATGCAAAACAAGTTAAATTACTTACGAAGTCCTAACATGACCATCTTTCCGAATGGTTTCAACATTTGGATAAACTTATCATTATCAATATCAGTGCTAACAGTATTGAGAATCATGTCAAATTTGCATGAAAGAGATTTTGCATCATTTTCTTCTGTGTGGACAAAGAATTCATCAGCTCCAAAGGATCTGCATTCCTTCTCCTTATTTGCATTTGTGGAAAGGGCTACAACATGGAATCCCATCTTTTTAGCAAATTGGAGAGCTAAATGACCTAATCCTCCCAATCCCAATACTGCTACTACAAATTCATTTCGTTTCGAATAAGGACTTTCACGATAGTAGTATAATGGTGAGTAAACTGTGGCTCCAGCACACAACAATGGACTGGCATCGACAGATTTCAACTTGTCTGGAATTGGAAAAACAAATCTAGCATCCCAAACAACACCTGTTTGAAAACCTCCTCCAATTGGTGCCTTATCGAAAGGTAAGGTCTTGTCACACAAATTTTCGAAATGATTCTTACAAGTTGGACATTCGAAACATGAAGTGTAGTGCCATCCCATTCCAACACGATCTGATACCTTAATCTTTGTTTCCTTCTCGACTTGCTCACCAACATGACGAACAATTCCAACAATTTCATGACCAGGAATGCAACCAACATTATGCAATGAGTGAATATCTGATTATTTAATAATATTTGATTTGGATAACTACTATTACTATTGAAAAATACTAACCTGTATAACAAATACTACTGGCAATTACTTCGACAAAAACCTCCAAAGGACCCAAACTTTTCACTTGTTGCTTGATTGGGCGAAAGGAGAATTCCTTTCCTTCTTCCTTTTCTGCTACTGCATAACCAGAAACTTGGATTGGTGGATTGATTTCCTTGATAGACATGGCGATAGATACTTTTCTTGTGGATTTCTTTTTTTAATTGTTGGATTTAAACTAATGCAGAAGAATTCTTGCTTTTAAATGTTACAAATTTGGAGATTGTACATTCTTGCGACTTTATACGTGCATTCATACATTCGCACGAGGATGTTATTTATTTAATATCCACCGTTGAAACTTGTTAAATTTCCATACGAAAGAAACACATTATCTGACATGTCTTTGTTAAGATTCATCTCATTTATGAAAGTTAGAATGACCTGTGAAAGGAAGACGAGGAGAATGGATATTTTGTGTTGTAATAACACATTTACAGTTACAATCCAGAATTTAAGGTCCGCATTCGATATCCTTTAGGAGTCGATTAGATCAGCAGCGGTTATTTATCTTTTCAAATTGACCACATCAACAATATCCTGATTTTATCATACTCTTTCCAGAGTGGATACAAGATTTCGTTATTCGATTCCCTTATGTTTTACCCAGTTTTTTCATTTTCTGCTTTTACATGGTTGCATTCGTGTTGGGTTGTTTGAAATTAGAGGAGGCCAATAAGAATACCTGGTATTATAGAAGGTTTATTGCTAAAGAGACAGTTGATAATATTGATAAGGAAACTTCCAAAACCAAATTAATATCACCAAATAATGAATTAGAAGAAGAGCAAGTTCAAGAGCCAATTATTGTTAAGGAATCCATGTTACAGAAATTCAAGAATAAGTTTAACAATTTCAAAAGTCATGAAATGTTATCATCTCCAATTCCATTGCTGACATGTTTCCTCTACTTGATGTTGGGATCGAAACAAATCTTATTTGACGAATGTTTACCTCTCTTTTCAGTTACACCAAAAGAGTTGGGAGGATTAGGATTATCTTCATATCATCTTGGTTGTAAGTTTACAATTTTTGTAATTCTATAGAAATTAACTTTTACTTTCACATTTCAATAATTAACATGCAAATAGTAACTGGTGGATTTTTAGGATTTATCATATTTATGAATCAGGCATTCATCACACCACGTGTTATTGCCAAATTCAGTCCATTGATTTGCTATAGGGTGAGTCTTGTTGTGGATATTGCATTCAATGTAATCTTTCCTGAAGTTATTTGGTTAATGGTTAGTGAACATGATCCAATTTGGAGACATGTATTGTTCTGGTTTGTTTTCGTATTCATTCTCCTATTAAGACAAGTTTCTAATGGGTACAGTTTCTTGGGAACTTTACTCATTACAAATAACAGTGTAACCCGAAAGAATTCTGGAAAATTGAATGGAACTTCTCAATCATTGGTTTCACTTTCGAGAATGATTAGTCCGATTGTTGGTGGGGCTATCTTTGCTAGCTCAACAGCTGTCTCTAAATTTCCAATTGACCATCGCACGGTGTTTTATGTTGTTGGTATAATAAGTGTAATTATGTTTTTCCTTTCATTGATTTTGAAAAAGTCAATCAATAAGCCAAAGGAAGAAGTTAAAGTGAATGAGGTAGCAAAAAAGTAAAGTCTGTCAATTTTGGAGAAACTCTTCTTTTAGCTAATTTCCAGAATGTTGTAATCGGTAGGGAATTTCGAATACATTATTCGAATTCCAACATTAAAAAAAATGGTCAATTCTCATTGTTATTCTTTTCGTTGCGAGAATGGAGAAGGTAAATTCATTGAATTGCAGTTATCATTCTCCGAACCTGAGCATCAAATCACTCTAGCTTGTACCTACAATTATCATAAATATTTGTTTCGTGAAGAAACTTCATCCGTCATTCATTTCAAATATTACAAGACATGTTTGATGAATAATTCAATTAAATGCAAAGTTTCTGAGAATTGCATTACCCTGAATGTGAAGGAATGTTCTGATCTGGAAGAAACTGTAAAATTTATTCTTGAGAAACAAGAAAGAAACCCAGAAGAAAAATTGAATATCATGTTTGAAGTCATGATGCAAGATATTAGAGAATTGAAGGAAAAACTTTGGTTTACAGATAAGGATTTGAACAAATTCTCAGAAAAGTATATTTCCAATTGGAATAGTTTAACAAATAACTATTCGAAAAACGTTGACAATCCTTCTATTAGAAAAAACCAAGATTCTAATTATGATGTAAAGAATTATGCAGTTAATACTTCAGGTTTTAAGGCTAATGGATATACGAAAGGTTGTCGTGAAGAAAATTTGGAACCTATTGTCATTTACTTTAAACAAAAAGTGGAATTCTCAAAGATTGAATTCATTGTGAATGCTCCAGGTAAGAAAGAAGACCCAATTGCAATTTATATCTATGGTGTGTTTAAACCTCAAGGATTTATTAGAAAAATGGAGGAATCAGGTTCAAGTTCTGGAACTTCTGAACCAAAAGAAGAATTCATCATCATGCCAAAATTGGAGCAACTTGTTAAGGAAGATTGTAAACAATCAGATATTGTTTCGGTTAGTTTAAATCTCAGTAATTGCTACGATGGTATTGGAATTGCAGTTAGAAAGGATAAGACTGCCATCTCTTATAGCTTGACTGATGTCAGAATTTATTAAATATCCTTTCGAATAGATTTTATTAGCACCAAACTATTCTTACTTTTGCAAATTAGTGAATGATTTTCTAAATATTCTAATAAATTCGTTATGAACTTGTGCATCTCCCATTTCCATAACATATAAAACTGCATTACTTCCAGAAATATCCAAATTATTCTTCTCGACATACTCATTTGAGAATTCGTATAATTGTTTGAAAATCTCAAGATATTGCTCTTCCATAACCGATCTATTAGCAATCTGAACAGCAATCTCCAACTCTTCCCTATTCAAATCATTACAATACATTGGACCACCCATTTGTTGTTTCCATGAATCAGCCAAAGAACCAATATCAACCGCATCGAATCCTAAATCTTCAATTATATTCGAAACCAATTGCTTACTTTTCAAACTATCACCAGAAACTGGAATTGCAACTCTGTTTGGAGCATTTTGAATGCCTCCTTTTGATTTTAAGCTGAAATCTGTAATATTGTTAAAGGCCTTAATCATTGGACGATTAAAGTAGTGAGAAATCCATTCGGTGTGGTTTAGTTTCCCATTTTGAATTTCCTCAATGGGGCCATCTCTAGATGGGTTATAATTACACGTATCGACAATTACGACATTTTCCAATGCGCTTTCGAATAATTGTCTATCCAATTGAAAAACTCCTTTCGTTGGAATGGTCAGAATGATTAGTTGTGCATTTTTCACAACTTCTGCAACTGGGAGAGCAGTGGCGCCAGTTTCACTTTCGACTTGTTTCAAAGTTTCTGGACCTCTTGAGTTTGAAATTCTAACAGAATGACCGAGTTGGGTGAAAGATTTCGCCAAGAAAGCACCAATTCTGCCAGCACCAATAATACCAATTTGCATTTTTTTTTTGACAGTTTACTTGAGTGAATCTATTCGATCAGCATGAGATTTTTATTCGATTTAGAAGTAGATTATGGAGAGTAAAAGTGCTCACGCAATCAATTCGCAGTAGTAGCAGTAAGTAGTAAAAGTCAATAGAACGCACGCAATTACTTGCTTTAACAATAATAAAAACAAGTTGCTGAAATCAAAAGTATCCGATGAGACGGAATCGAACCGCCGACCACAGGATGACAGTTTTTCTTGCTACAGTCCCATGCTCTACCAGCTGAGCTATCATCGGTTGTATTTATTTATTAAAAATACCTTTTGTAAACTATAAAAATATCTAAGGTATTAAGGTAGTTTGTTAAAGAGTGGCCGAGTTGTGTATTTGTGCAACCATGTATTGACGAACTTTATTAACGAACATTATAAAAAAAATGCCACAACATGTCCATCATCACTCCCTCTCACCTTCAAGACCAGTCGTCGTTATTGATAATGGCTCGGGAATGATTAAGGTAGGATTTTCCTGTAGTGATTCTCCCAGAGCCATATTTCCAACAATAGTAGGGCATAAAAAAGAGTCATCAGATCAAAAGAAGGAAACAACCAACAATGATCTCAATAGTATCGGATCATCATTTGTTGGAGAGATGGCAATAGCTCATCGAGAATTATTGGACATAAAAAGTCCCATGGAAAATGGAATAATTTCAAATTTTGATGATATGGAAAAGATTTGTTATCATCTCTATCCGGAGTTCTTGTCACAGAACCAAGTTAGAATCCAAAGTTGGTGAGAGAAAAAACAACAGAAATATTTTTTGAAAAGTTTAAGGCCAATCAGTGATGGGACTTTGTTCGAGTGCCAGATCAGATGGTGTTGTTTTGGATGCTGGTTATACGAAATCATATGCTGTTCCAATTCTTGAAGGAATTGCATTGCCACATGCCATTCAGGTGATG